GTTTTTTTTTGTCTAAATAACAAACAGTGCGTATAAATTCTCTCAATTTACTGTCAAAGTAATCCCTTTTCACACGACGAGTTTAATTCGCAGTAAATTAATGCGAAGTAAACTAATGCGAATCAAATTTATGCGAATTAAATTGCGTTCACACGACAGCTAATGAGAAGTAAACTAATGCGAATCAAATTTTTTCTTCTACAGTCAGGCGTCAGTAAGTCTATTATGACGTCATTTGTAAATCACGTCATGTATGCAGAGCCATTCTTTGACACATCATGTAGCGGCTACAGGTATTCATTGATTTTAGTGATTAACATACTTTCCTTCAATTTTTGAACCAAATATAGCACAAATACCTATATATAACCACCAAACACGTGTCCTCTGACTTAATTCTGGCCTTACTCATGCGTCAAAATTTAATTCGAATTAGCTTCACTTAGCGTTCACACGGAGCTAATGCGAAGTAATTTAATGCGCAGTAAATTAATTCGAATTAAACTAATTTGCATTAAATTCTCCGTGTGAACGCTAAGCCAAGCTAATTCGCAGTAACTTTACGTTTAATTCGAATTAAACTCTCCGTGTGAACAGGGCATAAAATTACTATATGTAACAGTATAATTTTCATTCCTACTAACCTCTGTCTGACCTGTTTCCACCTCTCCATGTGTTTTAGGAGGAGACTTTCTGCCGGGGGAGCATCATCTGCGTCCTTGTAATAAACATACAACAATAAGATTTAAACAAGATAATCTAAGATGTTATTTAACCAGTCTTGTATTAAACGTAGAATAATAAGTATTAAACAAAATTAAACAAGATGTGTTTGTGAAATACTATGCGCCCGGCGGCAAAAAGTTCGAAAAAAGCTATTTTTAGCATATAGGTCACAGTCAACGTCACAAGCTCATTGACCTTGGTATTATTTAAAAGAACATGATTAGTGGAGTATGCATACCAAATATGAAGTCTCTATCTCTCATGGTTCAAAAGTTATGATGAAGGTTCAAAAAAGCTATTTTTAGCATATAGATCACAGTCAAGGTCACAAAGTCATTGACCTTGGTGTCATTTGAAAAGGCTTAATAAGTGGAGTATGCATACCAAATTTGAAATCTCTATCTTTCATGGTTCAAAAGTTATGGTGAAGGTTAAAGTTTGAAGACAAAAAAGCTATTTTTAGCATATAGGTCACAGTCAAGGTCACAACGTCATTGACCTTGGTTTAATTTGAAAGAACTTTATTAGTGGAGTATGCATACCAAAGAACTTTATTCGATAATAACCAATATTTGCCCCCCAAATCAAACTTTGATGGAGATATATTTAATTAATTTCTTAAACAGGGGAGTAAATGCTGACTTCAAAGCACTGAATATTTTCATAAGTAATGACGTCATATGTACGTATTGACGTCAAAAACATGACGTAAATTTCAGTTTTTTATGAATTTTACAGAAAAATGTACATATTTCGTCGATTTTTTAAGTAAAAGTCACCGAGCGCATGTGTGTTCAGGATCAATATTTTGATATAATGTGTACAATGATAATTTCAATGAAATATGTCAATATTGTTCCTGAACAAACTTGCGCTCTATAAAATTTAAAGCTAAAATTGTTGAAATTTTGTCCATTTTGTCCTCTTTCTGAAAAAGGATATAAAATCGGACTAGTTTGTGACGTCATGAAAACAAAATTTGTGAATACACTGTTTTGAAACTATAATATTTTCTGTTAATTTATATTTCTCATATAATTTATTGAATTCAGCACATTTCAGGAAGTTTTCAAAATTTGACTTTTGTGGGGGCAAATATATGCAATATACCGCATATAGTTCTTTGAAATCTCTATCTTTCATGGTTCAAAAGTTATGGCGAAGGTTAAAGTTTGCAGACAAACAGACAAAGAGACAGGACAAAAGCAATATACACCCCGATCTATCGATCTGGGCGCATAAAAATAAAATTCATTTGGTTTTTCTAAACATTCCGTTTTTTGATTTAATATTTGTTGCATCAGGTCCTTTTTTTGTGGGCAGAGGAAAAATGACTTACATCAATCTATTGAAAACAAACAAGCATTCTCCATACTTCAAGCTTCAGTGCAGTTCTCTATTTCAAGAGATGGTTTGACAAGAATTCACCTTAACTTACCAATGTAAAAAAAATATGTCTTAGTTTGGGGCACAGGGTGGGATATTTTACCTTTACTTACCGATATAAAGAAATAGGTCTAAGGTTGGGGCACAGGGTGGTTTTTTCCCCCTTCACTTACCAATATAAAGAAATGTCTTTAATAGGTTGGGGCACAGGTTGGTTTTTTCCCCCTTTCACTTACCAATATAAAGAAATGTCTTTAATAGGTTGGGGCATAGGGTGGGGGTTTTTTTTCCCTTCACTTACCAATATAAAGAAATGTCTTTAATAGGTTGGGGCACAGGGTGGTTTTTTTTCCCCTTCACTTACATATATAAAAAAATGTCTTAGGTTCGGGCACAGGGTGGGTTTTTTCCCCTTCACTTACGGATATGAAGAAATGTCTTAGGTTCAGGCACAGGGTGGGGGATTTCACCTTCGCTTACCGATACAAAGAAAAACCTAAGCTGAGGCAGAGTGGCATATTTCACCCTAACTTACCGATATAAAGAAAAACATCTTAGGCTGGGGCACAAGGTGGGATATTTCACTGATAATTACAAATACGTCTTAATTAATTGGTACAGAGTAAGATATTTTACCTTTACTTACCGATATAAAGAAAAATGTCTTAGGTTGAGGCACGGGGTGGGGAATCCTGTAGTCAGTATGGTCATCAGGATCCTGTTTTATTGGGGGTGGCATTTTGTAAATATCTGGAATTCGTTCAGTCTGCAAAAAAAAAAACAAGTACAATTTTAAGTCATGCTTTTTTTAAAGTTAACATAAATAATCTTCCAAGTAACATCAACAGGGTATTGAGGTGAAATATAAATTATAAGTTGGTTTTATACTGTAACTTGAGCAACTGCAGATAATTTTCCTAACTTTAAACTTTTGACTTAAAAATCAAAATTAAACATTTTTTTTTTTTGCTGTCAGATATACTGAAGCTTCAAATCAGCATGACAAAAGAGATAAAAATCAAAAATATCAATTTATTTTTTCTGATTGATCCAGATTAAAGGCCAATAGTCCAATACTGTATATTTCTAAATATATGAAAAGAATTAATTATTGAGTAATTTCATGAAAAGCACATCTCACTAAATATAAATTCTCAGTTTTAATTTTAAATAGTGAAAATCACTTATTTACTTAGTCTTTAACAACAGACCATATGCAAAGTAATTTCTTGCATTTTGAAATTTTCATTCATATTACTAATTGAGTATTCTCTGTAAATAAGTGATCTACAGTAGTTAAATAATGCTTGAAAATGGATCTGCTCAAATAATTTTTATTCTGATCACTTATTCAGAAAAAAAGGTCAAACACAGCATCCAAAGCAAGTCTGGTAGTTTGCATCCCAATATGTATCATCCATGCAAATTCTCTCTCAAGTACATCTTTTGGGAATTGTGAATGGACCTGCTCCAAAAACTTTAACCTTGTCAATCAATGACACTCTTTCAGAAAATGTCTATCATATACGACAAGTAATTTGAAATGGAAAATGTTACTTTGAAATTTCTAGATTCCTCAATAGAAAAGGCTTACGGTTAGATGAAAAAAAAAATGCCCCAAACTTTGGAATACATCATGTACATGTAATTGTAACCTTTACTTCAGAATCTGTGATTGAGAAAAAGAGAATAGTTGATACCTCCTCTTCACTGGCAGGTGCTGACTCGGGCTCTGGGGAGGGGGAGTGGGGGGGAGGCTCTCTACTGTGTGGGTTGTTTTTCAGCCAAGCGCGACAAATTGGGTAGAGTGGAGAATCTTCATCAAAGACCGCTAAGTCCACACTGCGATCAAACAGCTTCATAATGTATGTGTCTGTCAACAAAATGTTCAGACTAATTTAGACATTCTTGACTCGGTAGATTATTCTGCAATTTTTATATTACAATGTTTTGTTGAAATGATTTGCATACAGGTATTTCTCATGTGTTTGACTATTATACATCTGCTTTAACAACATTTTGTATTTTTGTTTGTGTGTTTTATAACCTTAAGTTATATTACCTATAATCCATAATTGGGTAGTAATTATTTATACATCAATACTTACGCTGGTATTGTCCGGGCTCGTAATCAGAATCGTCCTTTGCTCGCTTTCTTTTTTTCCCTCTAGTGGTAGACGCACGCTTACTTGGAGACTGCATTGGAGATGGCTCACTAAACATAGAAAAAGTCCTCAAACATTAAAACATTGCAGTCCAAATCAATATTCCCTTCTTTTCAATACACATTAACATTACAATCATAGTGGAATGCTTATTATATATACTGTAAACCAACTTTTATTCACGTGCGAGTATTTTTCGCGAAGTTCGCGAGAGCCTTGTCATCCCGAATATTTCTTGCCGCGAACCAGTCCTTAAAGTGCATGTGTCTAAAATTAATAGATCCAAAAAGGCCTGATCGCAAAAATTAATCATCGCAAACTAGTTTATCCCTAGTAAATCGCGAAATAAAGTCGTCACAAATAAAAGTTGGTTTACAGTAGTCCAACAACTTTCATACCTGAGACAAATATCAATTTCACCGCCTTCATCACTAGATTCTTGCCTGTAAATAAGATCAAAATGAACATTAGAATATCCTGTCTTAGCAAGTATCAATATATATTCATTTCTCTGATTATGAAAATTGTTATGATGAACGTGTACACTGTTAGACAACTTATATTTACATATATATGTACCTTTAGAGATTTATGAAAGAATTCTTTTTTAAAATGTTCAAATAAAAACCAAACTTAATCAAATTAAGAAGTACAATCATAAAGAAAAGTATTTCCTGCATAGAAAGCTGACTTTATGATTTCAACTTAAAATTTCAAAACTTTACATTTTGTATATATTTTACTCCAATCTAGATCAAGGTCCTTGACTACTATAAGCAAACTTTCTATGAGTTCAACTTTACTCTGAGTTTCATCAAAAATGTGAAAAAGATTTTTACATTTACAATAGTTAAATTTATAAAATATACTAATTTGGAAAGAGAACCTTATTATAATTATAAACATGATAAAATTGTAATATATATATAACAACACAGGCCATTTAATTTTAAAGGCTAAACAAAAACAATATTTGACATATTTTGAGCACTTCTATTCAATCTGGCATATCACTGCTGCTGAAGAAGGCATAACATTTTTGTATATTGTTTTTTTTCTATAACAGTGATTTTATCTGGTGTATGAATTTAATGGTGTTGATCTTCATTTCCTGACTAGACGTATGCTTAATTATCTCTGAATTCTACTCATTTTCACTTACCCCTCATCTCTTTTGTCCACTAAAAGTTGTAATGTGGCATCAAATCTATTTCTTGCTGAGACAACTTCAGCCAAGTCTGCAATATAAAGAATCATGTCATTAATTAAAGCAATACACTTCTTGTAACGTGTAACAAACTGGTAGTCTGTTTTCCAAATTTTGTAATTTCCTTCAGGCGCAGCACTGTTAAGGCTTACTATGAGAAATCAACAGAAAACAGAAGTGCAAAAATGGACATTGTTTTTAAAATTGAATTCATTATCATTCAGCTGTTTTATTATCACAGAACTTAAATATTTATGGAAATAGCATAATATAACCAATAACCTACTCTGTACTGTATGAATTTTGGTTCCATCAATGGACAGTAATGTGATGAATGCATAGTTCGTGTACTGAATGTAGGTCATTAACAAATTTCAATATTGCAAGGGCATACCCTATTTGAAATTAAAAATTCAAGCTATTAATTGTTTCTGTATACTTTGTTTTTCCTGGAAAGTGCTGCTGCTTTGAACATGTTGAATAAATTCGTGTTTTAATAGTTAAAATTTCAAGTAAATAGGCCTATGTCGAAAAATGGTTGACTTTTACCAAATATTTTGTGTACTTTTAAATTCACGCTCTCGATTTAAAGAAAGCAGCAGCACTTTTCAAGTTAAGGAAAATATCCTTTATTAATATTCAAAACATCGTTAAGATTTATTTAGTGTATGCCCTTGCAAAAGAACAATTTTATGAGGCACCTTGATGTAAAATATACCTAACCCGAACATAAATACACGTACAAAATTATTTAAATACATTCTCTTGATAGTTAATGAATAATCGCACTAAACAAAGGATATACATTGGTATTAATGGCCTATTTAAAACCTGTAAATAACATTTTGTTTTATTCTGAAATGCATTTTTCATTGTTAAAATATTCCTCAATCTGCTTCTCACAGCACATGAAATATGTCATTTTTACCAAAATGACGTCATGATTGACAAGTTCATCGAGATCAGTGATTTGTTTCTAACCAACAGTATGGGATTTAACTAGCAACTTTTTCTAATGCATTGATAAGTTTTATTGTTGTTTATTATGCTAAAACAGAATAAAGTTGCAAATTATTTCATTTTCTGGTATTATGAGGAATACATAAAAGTCATAATATTGTGTGACGTCACAGTAAACTTTTCCCGTATAAACAATGCTACGGGCTTGATAAATATTGTACTCTCAGGTACCTAAATCATCAAACTGACCCAAAAACAGCAATAATTGTATAACAGTCTGCTAAGGTTATAACAACCAATTTGGAATATTCTATCTCATTTGGATGATTGTTTTAAACCTGTTAAACAGATCCCATAGACCATATCAAATTTAAGCTAAAATGTTCTATCTGTGTGACATTGTTTGTTTGAATATCAGAAATAACCCCAATATTGAGCAATTTTATCCAAGATCACTGAGTGCTAGAAATAAACAGTAACTAGCTTGAAGTCCCTCACCAAAATAAGACTCCAACTTGTACACAAAAAAGGATAACTGCATTAAATCATGTGAAACCTACATTGTGTAAGTTTTCCCCTAGATAGAATGTTCTATCGTTAAAATGATATTGTCCTACGGACCCGGTTTAACGATAGAATTCGTTCCGTGTATTCGTAATGTAGCAGAAAGAAACACGGGCGATAACTCATTTACTAGGAACAATCTAGAGAGTTCCGAATGTAAACATGGCAGGTAATTTGAATCGAGAGAAAAACGTTGAGAAAATTAATTGGATTTTCGTATTTATATGGATTATTTTTTATTTTAAAAGGCATAAGCAATCTCAAAAAGGTTTGTTTTGATTATTTTGGTAGTTATTCCCAGTGCAAATCATTTTATATTCTTCAAAATCGTTTTGGAGCGGATCCGCTCCGATTTGCTACATTGCAAGTATATGGGACGTATTCTAACTGTGGTGAGGGCCTGTACCGAGACACAGTTAGATTATTCTAACTAGTTTACCCCAACAGGAAATTTCCTCTAAATATCATATTTTCCCCTTTTCGATGAGTAAAAAATTCCTCTTACAATAACTAAAAGCTCAAATAATTTATTTCTCTGAAAAACTTAAAATTTATAGTAAAATTTCTCAGAAACTCTTACATATGGCTTTACTTTGCTATTTTGAACACTCGAAATGGTCATAAAAATGCTGAAATTTAATTAGACGCACCAGCAGGGCTCATCCTGCACCCGCTGTGGGCCCGGAGTGGTCCCAGATTCCCGGCTGATTTTCACAACTTCTCAAGAAAGGGTAGTTTCCCCCAAAACCTATATTAACCCCTGGGGTGATTAGTTACATTGTGGTATAAATAAGGAGTAACAAGACCGTAATGTTACTTTTTGAATCGTTCATTAACCTCAAAACTTCATTTATACTTACTCTGTTTGTTCTTTGACATAGACATTTTCTGTAAATTTACATAAACTCCTAAAATTACAATTATATTTAATATAAATCTTGTTAAATTTTAATTTAAAGTTATTTAAATAAAACAAATAAATTTTCCGCCATATTTGACTCAATGCCGAAAAATTATGATACGCAGCTTGTGATTGGCTATTTCGGTGCTGATTTACC